AAAAAATATATTACGTAATTCCTATATTCGCTGAAATTTCTGAATAATTACTAAAATTATCAACATTTTGAAGTGTAGATTCTTATTCTCTGTAGGAAACTCATTGATATATGCCGAGCATATCAATATGGTAATCTCCGTATTCTATTGAAGTTTAAGGTCAGTTTCAAAGTAATGAGGGTGTGGGTGTGAGTGTGGGTGTGGATGGATGTCGATGAATCTCATCATTCTTTATCCACATTCACACACACACCCACACCCTGCAGTATCTCCATAGAAATAAGCTAGCGGCCCGAACTTTTTTCAGAATATTCATAGCTCATTTGTACCTATACAATGCACACAGTCTCAACGCAAAAGCGATTGATCAGTTGGTGACCTTCCCCCGTAAGAGTGTAGTAAGTAGAGCTTTTCTTATATCCGGAATTTTCTTGTTGGTTATAAGACGAAACAGAACAGCTAATAAACATTCCTTTCTAGTACAGCGGTAGTATAGCTTCCCCAAAAGCAGAAGATGCATGGTTCGATTCCTTGCGAAGAGAAATTATTGTTTTTCGTTATGTTGTATTCTATCTCGTTGTTACCTCGCTGATAAGAATATGATAATATGCGAGTATAAAAGAAGACAGAGTGTGAGTGTGATGCGCAGGAAGAGAAACACCTATCCACACCTCGCACCCATAGCCCACACCCTACACTCACATCATGCAAACGCTTCAAGTTTTTTTTGTCAAAATATGTTGGACGACGAGCTCCTGGACGGTGTTCGACTGGTAGACCAATTTCGTAGCGTTTTGTTATATTGTAAACTGTTGATCTTGTAGAACCTTCTTGTGCAAAATGTTTTACTGTATCAATTTTTTTCAAACCTTTATTTGATCCAAGCATAGAAAAAACACGTTTACGAAAATCAATCATTTTGACAACAATGGATCGATCGAAAAGTCTCAAATTAAAGTATTGATAGAGAGTGCGGCAAGCTATGTAATCAGTAAAAAAAAATTTATTTCGATAGGTTATATATATGTTTTGGCTTTCAACATTTTGTTCAAAAAACTTTCGATCACCCGTTATTTGTGATTGGTGAAATGCTTTTCAAGTCTTTGGTTAGGAAATATTTTCATGCGAGAATGTAAGTGAAAGTGTGAGTCTTCTATTCATCTAAACTGACATCTATTCTTGCAACACATTTGTTTTTATTACTGTTCCTTTTTTTTTCTTTCTTCATCATTCAGTAATCAACCAATGCCTTAATATAGTTGTACTGTTTTAGTTTTTTTTTGAGGAGAATGAAAAAATCTTTCATGTGAAAGTGAGAATAAAAAATACAGAGGCGTTCGCTGCCGCTAGGCATCAATAAATACAATCAATTATGTTTCATACTAAAACATTTTTTTTTCAGAAGAATTTGCATCACGCCGATGACAACCCGTAAACATTCTTCGACACGTCCGTCTAATGCTGAATCGAAAAAAGCTTCATCACAAAGTAGTAGAAGTATTAATTTATCTTTATTTTTCCGCATAATAAAGAATAACTATAAATAAAATCTTTATATTTGTACGATAAAAATAAATGAAATCACTATTGAAAAAAATACTTGTCAGTGCGACCCCTAATAGAGTGAAAATGAGGATTTCATAAACTTTAATTGTTAAAAATTTAATATATATATTGTCAGAGGTTTTTAAATAATCTATTTAAACAAATGCCACATAAATAAATAAATTAAAATTATAAAAATTTTTATAGTTGCTATGAGCTCTCTGAAATTTTATTATTTGGAAAATGTTCGCATTTATAATTACTGTTTTACCAATCTATTTGATTTATTTAACATCATCCTACTGTAAAATCTTATTTGTATTGTCACATACGTCATAATGTCCTTTTGCCGTATGAAAAACCTAATCAGTAATATTTAGGCTAAACAGTAAGAACATACAGAGTTTTAGAATGATCTAAGCACTGATATTCTTTACGCAACATTTTTTTTCAATGAAAACGTATCTAATAATCTGTGTCTTCTCATTCCCGTGTTTCTTAGCACCTGAAAGGATAGTCACTATGGGCTACAATCGGGAAGGTGAAGAGAGCTGCAAAAACTCGATTTGAGCTTACGCTCACCATTTTGTTCGAGAATATATGTGAGTTCCACCACAAAAGTAAAAGATAAAAGAAATGCCAAACGAAGCGTTGTTTTTCAAAAACCTTCTATTATTTTTCTTTCGAGTAACTCACAAACAAATTTATGCTATGATAGAAATAAAAAGTATGTGGACTGACTAAAGTTTTTTTGGCATGTATGATCCTCATTTAAAAACAACACAGTATATCAAAGTGTTGTTGGTGATAAGAAATTAACAATAAAGAATTCATCTATCTAGATTTTATAAATTAAAATTATATTTGCTTTATAACAATTTAAATCGAACTATCATGATCATACGGCTATTTACATCAGAAGTATCATCATCGGGTCGAAGTTCATTAAAAAAAAAAATTGGAATTCAACATCGATTTCAGTATCAAAATTGAATATTGACTTCAAATTTCCTCTGTCATTCGTCAACATTTGATGAACCTAAAGTCAATATGATGGAGTTGGTTCAAGCCATTCGAAAGTTCGATTATCATCATCGTTTTTTTCGAGTTCCAGTTAGAGATATATAGATAAACGTACTAAGTGAACAACTTTCACATTCATCATTGGTCGAAGTAATTCCAGCATTTAAAACATTTATTAACATTGTTACAATTATTGAGATTTGAATTAATCAAGCTTAATATAAATTGTTTTCGCGTAGCTGAAGAGTTTATAGTTCTTTTTCTTTTGTTTCGTGTTTGCTCTAGCTAAATATATTTTTTTCTTCTTTCGAAGAAAATATATCCTTGTTTGTACGTAAATAGACTATTGCTTTCTCTTCGATTCTTTCGCAACTTTCTTTTCCAATAAACGCCATTCGGCAATACTTTAACGCAAAAAGTCGAAAAGATTTAAACGAAAGTATTTTTTTCAAATGATCCAAATCTCCTATTATGAATTTCACATCGTTCAGTACATACGAATCTTCTTTTATGGAAGGATCTTCTAACATGCGGGGGCGCGAGGGTTAGTTTAAACTCGGATCTTAGATTGACTTGAGTGTTGGATGGAAAGCTAATACATATATATATATATATGTATATATTGATTTATTTGTTTTTTAAATATAAATATTTTAAATTTGTAAAATAAATTAAAGATGAATTAACGTTCCTATAAAGTAGGAAGATGAAAATAATAACTATATAGAGTTTAGGTCTTTCGTCATCGATTCATACAAAAAAAGAAACAGAATCTGCAAGTTCAACAAAGGCAAACTCGAATATCGATATATTTACTTGCTTTTGGCTTGATCAAGATATTTATAAGACAGAAGATAATCGAAAAACATTGAATGAACTAAAACATATTATTGGTCATCTAAAAGTATTCGATATCGTTGAAGAATGTGAACAAGCCATCAGAAATATTACACACGAGAAAGTCATTCTTATCTGTTCAGATATCTTAGGTCATCAATTAATTCCACGTCTTCATGATCTTGCACAGTTTAGCGCATGCTATATTTTATGTCGAGATCAAGCGACCAGCGAACAATGGGCGAACACATATACAAAAGTATGTTACAAATCTAATTAATGTTAGACAGTCAACTTTTTGAATCAGAAATGAAGCAAGACTTGACAAAGAATTAAGAATTTTTTTTACCGTATGATAATTTTTAAAAACTTCAGGGTATCAAATACATTCTATGAAGAGATTGAATACTCTCAACTGTCTCCCATTCTTTTTTTTTATAACTGGCTAGTTACTGAAACTCATAGCTGTGGAGCACATAGGACATCCAAAATAGAAAAACATGTCCAAGAAGTTCCGAAACAGGTGTAGATGGATGTGACTTGTCTCTTTACACCCTCAAAACTATTCCTATCTGAAAACTAGTTGGTTAATAATTTTATTCATACTATGAATGCTTCAATCTTTAACGATTTGTTACTTATGACTTGTGGAACTGATTTCCACGCGTCGAATTCATTTTAAAAGAATCTTTGTTAGCTTAGATAGAGCTTATCAAGAGTAAAACAGAAAAATAAAAAAGTGATGATGAGAAATAGGTCTTTCTCGATGTCTTCTTAAGATCACAATATTTAAGTTCCACAAAAACACTTATTCGAAGAAAAATTATGATGAGACAATCTTACCTTTGTTTCATGGAATTGGAGAAAGTTAATTTGACATAGTTATCTATCTTTTAGCATCCATGATAAAGTATACATAGAAATAAATCCTGATTATTCATAGAAAAGATTTTCTCTTTTTGGCATAGATTGAAGGCAAACAATGTTTTTATCAATGGCGATACTGTTTTTTTGTGCAGTGTATGATAATTTAAGTCGAATAAAAAACCAGTTAGATATAGAAGCTAGCAATATTATAAGTGTTTGCCACATGGACACACATAACACTTTGATTACTTGTAGCAGTCATCCATACCCTTGAATATCTGAACAATCTCACGTAATTCTCAAATTCATATCTCTGGATACAGATTTACACGCTATATTAAGAGCACAATCCTTCAATCATGTGAAAAATAATCAACAGTTTGAAGGATGAATTTCTTTTAAAAATTAATTGTAATTAGTTGGTTCCATTTATAGCATTGCGAGTTCTACTTGAGATAATTTATTACCGAACTATATATCAATATCGTTAAATCTTATGTTTTGTTTTGAATTACGAGCATTCTGATCTGATTGCTTTATATACATAGGTGAAAGGTATTTTTGTTCATCGATCAAAGCTCGTTGCTCAAATTGCCCAAGATCAAATTACTCGAATTAAAGTCGAAGAATCAGGAACTATTACAGTTGTGAATAGCAGTACACAATCTTTGGAAAGTCGTAATGCAATGTTCATGTGGTTTCAATTGTACATTGAAGTTCTTCTCCGTATGCATCACACATCTAACGCACGACAAGAACTCATTGATATTTGCAAAAAAAATTATCGAGAAAATCCTTCAGAACTTTCTATTATTAATGAATTTGAATCGACCTACAAGTCAGACAATGCCATCTGGTGGTATACACGTGAATGTTGTTTCTACCGTATTTTGAACAAAGCATTACGTATTCAAGATTTTGATATGCTTTTTGTACTTCGATTTTTTATCACTGATCTATCAAAACAATTGAATGATGAATATGATCGTCGTCTACGTGAAACACCGACACGTGATATTATTCGAGTTTATCGTGGACAAGCAATTCATGTCAAAGAATTGCAACTAATAAAATCAAATATAGGTGAATTTATTTCGATGAATTCATTCCTTTCAACCAGTCTTCGGCGTTTAACTGCTCTTAGTTTTGTTAATACGATTGAACTACAGGAAGAAATCGATCGTGTCTTACTCGAAATCGATATTGATCCACGTGCTAAGACAAAAGCTTTTAGTAATATTGATCGACTAAGTTATTTTAAATGTGAAGATGAAGTTCTTATTATGCTTGGTGCACTGTTTCGAATAAAATCCGTTGATAGAGACAATGAAAAACAATTATGGATTGTGCATGTTACCTTAGCCAATGAAGATGATTATCAATTGAAAGAGACGTTTGCTCATATGAAAGAAAAAATTGGCGATGAAACAAATTTGCATTCTATGGGAAAAATTTTAACTGAAATGGGCGAATACGAACAAGCACGAAAATGTTATAAACGAATGATTTACGAAGCTCAAATTAATGAAAGCATCGGATATAGTGGTCTTGGATGGGTCGATCATTGGTTAAATGAATACGATACAGCTTTAAATAATACTCAAAAAGCTCTATCGTTAATTGATGAACTTTTACCCGATATTTGTAACGAAAAAGCTAGATTGTATAGTTCTATGGGCTTAATTTACTGGAGAAAAAAGCAATATGATCAAGCATTAAAAAATTTAAAGAAAGCTCTATATATACAAGAAAAGATTTTACCACCAGACCATCCAGATCTCTTAGCTACTTACAATCGTTTCGCTATTACATATAGTGCGATGGATGAAGCACAAATGGCTTTCGAATACTACAATAAATGTTTGAACATTCGATTGGCTACATTACCTCATAATCATCCTGATATTGCTACATCATACAACAATCTTGGCTGGTTATACAACGAACGTATAGGTGATTATGCCAAGGCATTAGATTACTTTCAACAGTCTCTCGCCATTTGTCGTAAAACATTGCCACCGACACATCGAGATATCGTTCGAACTGAACAGAATATCCTTAAAGCAATCGAAAAAATGAAACAGAAATCAAAGACAAAGACATAGTTCTTTTTAATGTTCTTGCATTTTTTGAATATCCTACGTTCATGTTCGGAATAAGTCATCAAAAATTGATTATCTATATTCATCAAGAGTCCAAATTAACCAAAACAAAAATCATTTTCTAGTCACATATTACCTCATAAAATGATTTTTCAAATAAATTTAATAGAAAAAGTCACGATGCTAACTAATCGTTCAGCCAACGCAGATGGAATTGTTGGGAAAGATGACCTGCACGAACGAAAAATGATACTCTTTTATATATTCAAGGCAACGAAGAGACGATAAGATTTAGTTTTGACAATTTTGGCTATTTGAACATAAAAGTGCTGGTTTGAGTTTTTTTTCCTGTATGTTAAAGTGAGAAAATTCGACCATGTGCTAAGTAATCTAACATAAAATCTAGAAGAATATTTAGAAAATGAACAAGATGTACTTCAAGTGAATCAGGTCCCCCAAGATTAAACAAAGGTTGAATATAGTAATTGGACATCCTTGATCGACTTTGCACGCTTTTTACCGTATTTAACAGATTATCTTCATAAATTTTTTTGATTTCTCAAAAGATTATCATGACATTAAATAAAACTGAAAATGATCGAAGAAATTAAGACGGTGTAAAAAACGAACCACGCTATTTGTTAGTAGACATAGTGAACATTTTTCTATTATATTTTGAATCAGATAAGGAGTCAGCAAATTATTCAACTCACGTTTCTATTTGGATTCTTTATTCAATACTTACGTCGAAAATACATAGAGAAATATGAAAAATTCAAACTGGAAGAAACACGTTCAAATTATCAGATAAAAATTATGAGTCCTGTTTCAACATTCACTTGATTTTATTTGAAATTGAAGGGTGTGGGTGGAGTGTGGGTATGAGTTTGGGATTGATATATAGATGAAACATCAACCCCCACACCCTAAGTATGCAGCGCCAAAACTTGTCTCATTTTTCACTAACAGAAATGTTTGTTGTCGTTTCATAATGTATCCTCAACTGAATATTAATTAGTCTGTGAAGTATTACTATCAAGAGTGCGTCTTTTTTCCATGAGGAAATGAGCTGAAAAATACCATGGATATACCACTGAGATTTTTCAAATAAATCAACAGAAGTTAAAAATTCGATTATGGACTCATGCACACTATCCTAAATGTAAGATTAGCTATTGAAATTTCCACTAAAAGTGGTCTTGAATTGAGAAGAAGTATGCTTTACCATTAGAGAAATAGCAAAAGAAAACAAAGAGTGAAGAATTAATTCTAGTCCTATAATTATTAGATTAATTTTAAAACCACAATAACAACAAAAGCAATATTAAACTGTTCAGGACAACAACAAAAGTTTGTTGTTGAATATATGACTTCGTTTCACTTTCCCTCTTTGTACTATTCACGATAGTATCAGCACAGAATACACAGACGATAGTGTAATCATCGTTATATTCCTGATAGCTTATCTAATAAAAACTTGTTAGACAACTGTCCAAAACAGCGATTATAGCAGTTTAGCCTTGTTGAGCAACGACCAGGCGAAATAAAAAAAGCCATTTTTTCACTTGAAATCTATTGGGCTAGTGGGATCTACAACTATATCTCTTCTCTAATAGCTTCAGATCAATCGACTGTACTTGTCTTGAGACCGTATAAGTTAGAAAACCGAGTTTGTCGCCACGATAAACTGGGCATCATGTAGACGCCTGATAAAAATTTATAGATCTGGTGGTTTTGAATGGGATTGCGTCAAATTCGCTAGTCATTTGCCATTCTAGCATGTATAAAAATGAACTAAAAATGAAGATGGTTGATTGAACACCAACAACTTAAATTCTGACACGACTTAAATTCAGCTACAGAAGAAAAGGCTTATTGAATAGAATGCTTGAACACTTCTAGTGAATCATGAGTCCAATACCATAATATTAAATCATTAAGCTAGTCTATACGTTTGCTTGAGTCATTTTTAGATAATATTCACCGAGCTGTTTCCATAGGCTATTCAAAGTCCTTCTTCCATCAGAAGGGTTATTCTCAGAAGAGATATTTTTAACATAAAGATACTTTTATTTAAATCTTCATAACTATGTGATCATGATGGTAGCCATTTAAATCTTCCTACTTATTTAAACTATTCTTATAGTTATTTTTGAATCCGACTCACAGCCATTGAAATCTTCATAGCAATTTCATGATACGCGTAGCTATTGTAAGAAGTCGTAGCAGTTCATTCCCGAGATGTCCATCGCGGCTGAGAATCTGCCATTGCTGCGCCGCCACCGCGACGGTTTAAAAAAATACTTACACTTTCCAAACTGTGCTTGATTTCCAACTGGAACCGCTACTGCTAATCGATTAGATTCGTCATGTCTTACAGTATGGCACAAATTGACGTCGAGATTTTGTTTAAATTCATGAGTTTTTGAAATTTCTTCCTAAAAGAGCTACCACCGCCGCGCCGCTTCCAAACTGCGATGGTTTTTGAAAAAATCTGCTGCTCCCGTACCGCTAATGTTACGGTGGTTCTAGTGTCGCCATTGACATCTCTGATTCACTCAACATTACGATTGATTTCTGTCAGAGAATGTGAAGTTGAGCACAAATATCTTGCTGATGAGCTATTTAATCTCTAGCACTGTTTAAAGATATCTAGTACCAAGTAATAAGCATTCATAGCTGTCTAAATTGTGTTTGCTGTTAGTAAACAAAAGTTATTACTAAAGATCAGAATAAAAAGAAGTTTCTCATATAACCGGATGCATGACAATAAATTATCAGAAAGCTAAAAAAGGCACTAATAACTTCATTGAACAATTAAAACTTCTTTATATTCAAACAAGAAATATCGTCTATTATATCAAATTTTTCAGCTCTCAAACTTCTATTAAATTTCTAATAAAGACGCTGGCAAACTCTACAACTTCTTAGTTTCAGTAAGATTTCAATTGAATGTACTCGATCAGTCTACAGTTTCTCCGAATTAACTAGACTGCAATTAAAATTGAACATAATTTAATATACCTCTATAAGATCAACTCTTTATAATTATCTGGTCAGTGATTTTAGCTGTTAAATCTTTTAAAAACTCTGTTTAATTTAGCCTAAACCTCAACTTTGCTTAACATATATTTCAGCCGTACCTGCATGCATCGCGAAAATGAAATGAGTCAAAATCTTAAAAGTTATTTCTGAGCCTTCTATATATGACTTTGATATCTTCAGAGAAGTCCCCTCTATATGTCTGACAAGGTGATCAATTTTCTCAATGATGCTCTAAAAATGAGCAAGAAGACATTTGAATCGAAGAGTTTCGATTGAGCACTTCTCCCTAATATTATGTTGCCATGCTTGTGCAATGGCTTATATATGTACGAATCTTATTCAAACTAAACGTTAATCTTGAACGAGAACTACTTCATACAAAGTTGAAAATAGGCTTCAAATACAAAATTTCAGATTGCTGCAGTGGAACACTTCTGTTTAGGATGGTTAAATACCAATAGTATGAATTTTGCATGATATCAGCACACGGCATCGATATTAACAAATGGAAAAGTGTTAGTTTTTGGTGTATATGGTTCTGATATTCCTTTGGCTAGTGCAGAATTGTATGATTCATCAACAGGACTTTGGAGCAGGACTGACAACATGAGTACTGGGCGATATCTTCACACAGCATCAATACTCAACAACGGAAAAGTTCTAGTTGCTGGTGGAATTGACTCTAGTAGCGATCAAAATACTGCAGAACTGTACGATCTATCAACAGAAATTTGAACCAAGACGGGCAACGTGAGCAGTGGAAGATACTATCACACAGCATCGCTACTAACCAATGGAAAAGTTTTAGTTGTTGGTGAATCTGGAACAGCTGGCTTTTTGAATACTTCAGAACTGTACAATCCATCAACAGGACTTTGGACAATGACTGGCAACATGGTATATTCAAGATACACGCATGCGGTAACGACACTTAACAATGGAAAAGTCTTAGTTACTGATGGGTATGACATTATTGGCATTTTGGATAGTGCAGAACTGTACGATCCATCAACAGAACTTTGGACACTGAGTGCGGGTAACATGAATAGGGGAAGATACTATCACACAGCAATCCTACTAATCAATGGAAAAGTTTTAGTCGCTGGTGGGTATGGTAATGGATATGGAATTAGTGCTTTTTTGAATAGTGCAGAATTCTACGACTCATCAACAGGACTTTGGACAATAACTGGCAGCTTGAGTATTGGACGAGATTTACATACAGCATCGATACTAACCAATGGAAAAGTCTTTGCTACTGGTGGAACTTTCTATGGTACTAGTGGCTATTTGAACAGTTCAAAACTATACGCGTGATCATCTTGAGGCTGGAATACTACTCGCTGGACTGAAACTTGAACCTTTCATTCGTTTTCCTACTACTTACTCTTGAACTGTCTGAAAACACTGTTACAATGACATGAAACTTTTGCGTATTTACTATTAATGGCGTAACCACGAGGGGGGTTGGATAGGCTGAGCTTCCTTCAGAACTATTTGTACCCTCTCGTCCTCAAAAAATTTTTGGTTCTCATGAAAAACAGAATTGTTTCTCATTTTCAGATGTGTTAGTTCATCCTGTTCAATATTCGATAGTTTTCTTCGATCAAAGGCGAAAGCGAGATTAATTTTTCAAAACAATGAAGGAATCGATGAACTTTTCTGACGAAAAAATTATTTATCCACTTCTGACTGCGGGAAGTTTTCGACCTAGTCATAGTACACACTAAATAAAAATGTGCCGTATTTATATGTCGTGAATTATTGTGTCGCACACTCCAGCAGAAAAATGTGTCGTGCTTAGAATGTGTCGTATACGAATTTCTCGCGTTCTGTCTGTTGACTATTCGTTCACCGTTTTATTATGCACACATGGTCATATATAAACAACGTGGTTTAACATAGAAAAAAAAATTTCAAATTATTTTTATTTTCTAGATTATTTCTCGATTATTTTT